TGTTTTTATCTCTCCCATATGTTGTTGATAAGCTGAAAACACAGCATGGTCCTGCCAAAACAAAATCTTTTTTTGATGTATTTTCATTGTCAGTACAGGTAGAATATCAGCAAATTGTGCATGGCTGGACTGATCTACATCCTACCCCAATCCCCAAGGTAACTAGCAGCAACCAATGTCTACAATCCAGAGCAATCATTGTCTGCCACCCCAAAATAACATTGCTACACATCATATTAATTTCAGAGTTTTGGTGATTTGATCAGGAAGAATTAATCAATCTGAGCTCTCCCTTTACTGTCTAGACTACAGCTGGCCTCATAAAGTAAGGGACCATCGATCCTGGTTAGTCACATTGTCCCAAATAATATCAAACAAGGATTTTAGCTATTTTCAGATGGTCATCCCCCAGCAATTCTGGTTTGTGGTCTACAGCAAATGTACCTCATTGTTTCAGTTGCACCCAAGTAAAAAACGAGATTTGACCCGCACTTCTCAAACCTTCTCAAACAGGACTTTTTAGCTCTACATAAAAGTTTGGAGCAAGAGGCAACCCCTCACCTCAAGGCTGCATTTGCTAATTTGTTCAATCAAAACTATATATGAAATGACTCATAATTATTGCACTGCACTTCTTACAACCCCCATTATTTATTGATGTATTATCTAACCTACTGTCCGACGTTATTTTCCTGCTCATGTGTTGAATGATTTTATTGGTTTAATACATGCCATGAACATGTCTTGCATCTGCTTTGTGACTTTCCCGACATTTGACAAAGTGTGACATTAATGCTATTGAGATGTGCATGAGTGCAGTGCCAGCACTTAGTGGTCAGAATGCTTGCAAAGGCTAATGACAAGTTTATTCATCGACTTCTTTATGAGGATCTTTGCAGTAATCCCAAGCAGCAGTTTACTATGAACATCGCAACCTGATCAATACTCCATGCGTAATACCTCAGTTGGCTCAGTAGTTAGCACGGCTGCCTCACAGCATCAGAGAACCGGGTTCAATTCCACCCTCGGGTGACTACCTGTGGGGAGTTTGCACATTCTCCCCATGTCTGTGTGGGTTTCCTCTGGGTGCTCCAGTTTCCTCCCACAGTCCGAAGATGTTCAGGTTAGGTGGATTGGCCATGCTAGATTGTCCATAGTGTCTGGGGATGTGCAGGTTAGCTGTGTTAGCCATGGTAAAGAAAGAATTACGTGGATAGGGTAAAGGGGTTGGTTTGGGTGGGATGCTCTTCGGAGGGTTGGTGTGGATATGATGGGCTGAATGGCCTGCTTCCATGCTGTTGGGATTCTATCAAGCGCCCCCCCCACCTTATCTCACCTAATATATGCAGAACTTGTATGCAGACAAACACTGAGTAAAAATACTTTGTCCTTTTTCCAGCATTATGTCTGGTTTTTGTCATAAAGACAAAAGGCTGATGGTTTTTGTTTAAATTCATTTCACGGATTGGGAATTTTCTGGCTGGGCTGGCCATTATTGCCCATCCCTACTTGCCCTTGAGAAGTGGTGGTGAGCTGCCTCCTTGAACCGCTGCAGTCCAATTGCTGTAGGTGGACACAATGCTGTTTGGGAGGGAATTTGAGAGTTTTGATTCAGTGACGGAACGGTAATATATTTTCAAGTCAGGATGGTGAGTGGCTTGGAAGGCAGCTTACAAGTAATGATGTCTTCTGTCCTTGTTTTTCTAAATGGTAGAGTTTGTGGGTTTGAAAGGTACTATCTAAGGCACCATGGTGAATTTCAGTGTATCTTGTAGATAATACATACTGCTGCTACTGAGTGCTGATGCTTGTGGATGTTGTGCCAATCAAGCGGGCTACCTTGTCCTGGATGGCATCAACTTTTTAAGTGTTGTTGGAGCTGCAATCATCCAGGCAATGGAGAGTATTCCATCACACTCCTGACTTGTGTCTTGTAGATGGTGGACAGGCTTTGGAGAGTAAAGAAGTAAGTTACTTGCTGCACAGCTCCTAGCCGCTGACCTGTTGTAGCAGCAGTATTTTTAAGGCTAGTCCAGTTCACTTTCTGGTCAGCAATAACCCCCAGGATGTTGATAGTGGGGATTTCACTAGTAACACCATCAAATCAATGGGCGATGCTTAGATTTTTTCTTGTTGGAGATGGTCATTGCCTGGTACTTGTGAAGCATCACTGTTACTTGCCACATTTCAGCCTAAAACTGGATATAGTTCAGGTCTTGCTGCATATAGACATAAATTGCATCAGCATCTGAGGAGTCAAAATGGGTGCTGAGCATTCAACAGCAAGCATCCCCATTTCTGATCTTATAATAGAAGGAAGGGCATAGATGAAGATCATTGAGGAACTTGCGCAGAGACGTCCTGGACCTTCAGAAATCACAACCATTTTTATGTGCCAGTAATGACACTAACCAGCGGCAAAGAGTCTTTCCCTGCTTCCGAGTTCCTCAGGGTCATGTCCTGTGTCCAACGGTCTTCAACAAATAGATGGAAACACCACTACTTCAAGTTCCCTTTAAGCCACTCAATGTCCTGGTTTAGAAATATGTTATTGTTCCTCACTGTTGCTAGATCAGAATCGTGGAACTCCCTCCCTTGTAGCATTATGGGTGTATGTACACCAAATCAACTGCAGCAGTTCAAGAAGGCAGCTTATCACCACCTTCACAAGGATAATTAGGAATAAGCAATAAAGACTGGTACAGCTAGCAGTGCCTAAATCCCACGAGTGAATAAAGAAAAGTTACTGAGACTGGCAAAATCTGGGGAGCAATGTCCCACTAGACTCAGTGCTATGAGCACTGTTGTTCATTATTTGCAAAAACAATATAAACTCAGAATTGGCAAGACAATTTCAAAACTTGCCAATGACACCAAATTTGAGTTGCACTTAATATTGAGGAACACGGACAAAATACAAGAAAGGATTAATAAATTTGCAGAATGGGAGTATAATTGGCAAATACTTTTCAAATAGTCACTTGGCGGTGTGGAAATGAGAACTGCTGAATAAAGACATTTTGTTGAGGCTTTTCATCTCACACTCATCAGGGTAGAATTGCAAAAATGTCAAATTTTGGAACGAATAACAATTCATTCTGCAATATAAAAGGGTGGTGATTGGTTAGCAAGTCAACTCTGATTGGTCAAGACTGTGCCATGGAAGATGCATCAGGGAGTTAATTGTCCCTCACCCTTATGTTTAATTCAAAAAGGACACAATGCCTGAGCATTTTCTTTGTGTGTAGAGGACATGGAACTGTGTATGATTATAATTTTGTGTTGTTTTAGCAAGTAAGCCACATTGTAAGTATGACTGGTGACTAGCTAATATCTAATGTTTGACTTCATTCTCTAATTGAACTGTACTTGCTAAACAACTCTGAGTGTGCTAATAATCATACAGACAGTTTGATTATCAGTTGGACTTGCAATTTAGGTGTAATCTAGAAGCTACATATATACTTGTCTGCAAGAATCTGTCATTGTAGAAAAGAGCAACCTGTCCAGGTATTGTCCCAGTGAAATGCCCTATTCTTGGGTCCACCCTGAGGCACGCCAGATGAAAAGCTTTTGACATCATGCTTGGTTTTTAGCGAGACTAAATATGTTCAGTCGACACATGCATTTTACAGGAAGAATGAAGAGGCCACAGACAATTTGTTTAAATAACAGAAGTCTAAATAGGGTAGAGGGTTGGAATCATAGTAATTGAGATCTACAGCACAGTAAAAGGCTGTTTGGTCTGTCACGTCTGCACTGGTCAAAAACAACCACCTAACTATTCTAATCCCATTTTCTAGCACTTGACCCATAGCCTTGTATGCTTTGGCATTGCAAGTGCACATCTAAAGACTGCTTAAATGCTGTAACGATTTCTGCGTCTACTGCCCTTATAAGCAGTGTTTTGGTTACAGATATCTCAATTAACATAAGTAATGATATAGCTAGAAAATGGCAAACAAAATGCCGGAGCTAGTTGCTTGAGGGATATAACTGAAAATTAGGGAATTTATACACTCACATGGAATCTTAGGTAGACCATACTTGACATTTTGTGCACATCGGTGGTATTCTTATTACAAAAAGGATAAAAAGGAATGTAAAAGATACAATTTACAAGGATGATCTGAGAACTGAAAGATTATATCAATCAAGAAAGATTGAACAGGCTCCTGTTCCTTTCATGTAGAAGAGAAGGCAGCGAGATGGCTATTCGATGCCTTTGCGATAATGAAAGCAATTGATTGGGTAAATATGGAGAAGATATTTGCAATTGTGGGTGGGGGAGAGGGGATAGGTCCAAACCATGAGCCATAAATATAAAATTTTCAGGAAATAAATCTCACAGGGAATTCAGGAGAAACTGCTTTACCCAAGGCTGGATGGAATGTGGAGCTTGCTACTGCAGGGATTGGTTAAAGTCACATTAGAGATGCATTTAAGGGGAAGCTGGAGAAGCACAAAACGGCAAGAAGACTAGAGGGATATGCTGATGGGAATAGATGAAGAAAGGAGGAGACTCATTTGGAGCAGAAATATCAGCACAGTTGACTAGTTGGGTTAACTGGCCTGTTTCTAAGGTATATGTTCTGTGTAATTCTCTGTAACCTCTTGTATTGATAAACTGTATTGTAGGCAGTGAACACCTGTAGCTCCTCTAAAAAAGAAATTCTGGTTTCATTCCACCTCTGCATTTTGTGTCCAATTATCCAGTTATATTCTATTCTTTTTTTGTTTAAACATTGCTCCTCCTTAACCGAAACAGAATAATCCTGATTGAAGGTGCCACAACTAAGTTAGTGAATCTTCTTCCTACCGTTAAAAAGCATTCCAGGAATTGGATCCAGTGAAGATGAAGAAATTGCAGTTGTATATAAGTGTAATATCTAAATGCATCCCACGTCAGGATTATGTGCGATTTGGAGGAATTTCCAATGTTGTAACTTACATTAAATTCAAACTTGTAATTTTGGTAATGGAAATTTTTTTGTTCATAGTCTACATACTACATGGAGGGAAACACGGGACACAAAGTGTTTCAGACTCAGTTTGGACGGATTGCTGTTAATATCTGCTTTGGTCGACATCACCCTTTGAACTGGTTAATGTATAGCATCAATGGAGCTGAAATTATCTTCAACCCCTGTGCTACTGTTGGGGAGCTGAGGTGAGAGAACAGTGTGACTGTAATTACGGATAGCCTGTGGTGACATTTCACTCTCTGCTTGGCCAAAGCCACGAGATGTTCTTGCCAAATAGTTATTGATATCATGGTGCACATCATTTCCACTGATTAGTTTCATTACACTAGCATTTGGTTGAACAGATGGCCGTAACTTCTTCACTGTGACTCCATTCATCCTGAACCTTAAACACTGCAATCTACAAATAACTATTTTGCTCATGGATGTATGTTGTATTTTCTAAATTCCCAGAGTCCCAAATGTAGGACATCTTTCAAACTGAGGATCGGGCTGAGTAAGGGGAAAGGGGATCTCTTCCTACTTAGCTGAGTGAAATGATAAACTTATATAGATTGTTTGGCCTGTAGTGCAAATCCAGTTAACCAAAGGGTAAGATTATTGTGAAAGCTGTACAGGATATGGATGGAAGTCTCCTTTGCCAGAAGGAAGTTTTATAAATCTATTTGAACATATTTTCACATTTACATATTTACAAACATACTGTATCTCTCAGCTGTTGCAAAATGGTGTTGGCAGAGGAGGTTTAACATTGACATTTAATTGACAAGCCCTCGAACACTGTGATCTCAAGTGAACTATGTATCTTAACAATGTGCTGAGCTTGAAATGAACCCTGAGCTTTGAGGATAAAGGTGAGGACTATATCCTGTTAAAGGAGTCACAGCAAGCAGTCCACGTCACTAAAACTGGGATGGAAAACAGACTGAGCCTTCACTGGAGTAAAACCTCACATCAGAATTATCAAACAGGACATAGAAATGTAAAAAATAGGAGCAGGAATAGGCCATTTAACCCGTAGAGCCTGCTGCACTATTCAATATGATCATGGAATGGGAGGTTGGAATCTCAGCTCAGAGATGAATATGTGGTTATGAGCAATCTGGTTCAGTGCCTAAAGCCTGTTATAGAAGAGGAATGGCGTTGATAATTGGGAAAGGGAGTTTATTGTGGGGACTGATGACAATGAAGTCTTTGTTCATTCATTCATGCTAAGCGAGATATTACCTATCTCTAATTGTCCTGTGAAGCAGATAATGAGTTGCCTTCCTGGATTGCTGCAATCTTGGGGTGTAGGTACACTCACAGTGGCAGTTAGGGAGGAGTTCCATAATTTTGACCCAGGAACAATGAAGGAACAGCCATATATTTCCACGTCAGGATGGTGTGTGGCTTGCAAGGCAACTTGCAAGTGGTGAAGTTCTCATGTATGTACTGCCCTTCTCCTTCTAGATGGAAGTGATCATGAGTTTGGAAGGTGTGATGAAGGAGGTTTGGTGAATTTCTATAGCGCATCTTTTAGATAATACGACTGCTGCTACTGAGCGTCAATGGTGAAGGGAGTGAATGCTGAAGGTGGTGAATGTGGTGTCAATCAAGCGAGCTGCTTTGTCTGGATGGTGTTGAACTCCTGTTGTTGGAGCTGCACACATCCAGGCAAGAGGGGAGTATTCCATTACACTCCTGCACTGTGCTTTGTAGATAGTGGACAGGCTTTAGGGAGTCAGGAGGTGAGTTACTCACTGCACAGTTCCCATCCAGTGTATTTGTATGGCTGGCCCAGTTCAGTTTCTGGTCAAACGTACAATATGCATTTTTAGTTGGAGGAAATTTCAGCCCTTGTTTAAAGGAGAGCAACAGGGATAATCTGGGAATTTAGATGCTGGTGACCCTTGTGTCTGTGGTAGGGAAATTATTGGAGAAGATTTGTAGGGGCAGGATTTACTCACATTTGGAAAAAAAATGGACTTATTAGCAAAAGGCAGCATGGCTTTGTCCAGGACAACCGTGTTTCGTGGACTTGGTTGAGTTTTTTAGGAAATGACAAAGATGATTGATGAGTACAGGGTAGTGGATGTTGTCTACATGGACTTTAGCAAGGCTTTTTACAAGGTCCCTCATGGTGGGCTGGTACAGAAGGTGAAGTCACACGGAATCAGCAGTGAGCTGATAAGATGGATACAGGTCATAAAAGACAAAGCATTGGAAAGGTGCTTTTCTGACTTGGGATCTGTGACCAGTGGTGTTCTGCAGGGATCTGTGCTGGGACCCTTGTTGTTTGTAAATATATATAAATGACTTGGAAGAGAATGTGTGGCCTAATTAGTAAGTTTGCAGACAACACAAAGATTGGGGGAGCTGCAGATAGTGAGGAGGATTGCCAGAGGATACAGAAGGGTATAGATAGTTTGGATACTTGGACATGAAAATGGCAGATGGAATTTAATCTGGAAAAATGTGAAGTGATGCATTTTGGAAGATCTAATGCAGGGGGGAAGTATACAGTAAATAGCAGAACCCTTAGAAGAATTAACATACAGAGGGATCTAGGTGTACAGATCCACAGTTCCCTGAAAGTGGCAACACAAGTGGATAAGATGGTTAATAAGACGTATGGCATGTTTGGCTTCATCGGTCAGGGCATAGAGTATAAAAATTGTCAAGTCATGTTGCAGCTGTATAGAACCTTAGTGAGGCCAAATTTGGAATATTGCATAGAGTTCTAGATGCTACACTACCAGAGCATGTGGAGGCTTTGGAGAGGGTATAGAAATTTTTTTTAACCAGGATGTTGCCTGGTTTGGAAGTTATTAGCTATGAGGAGAGATTGGAGAAACTTGGTTCGTTTTCACTTGAATATGGAGGCTGAGAGGCAACCTAATAGGAGTTTACAAAATTATGAGAGGCATGGAGAGTGGGAATCCTTTTCCTAGGATAGAAATGTCAATTACTAGGGGACATAGGTTTAAGGTAAAGGAGAGAAAGTTTAAAGGAGATGTGAGAAGCAAGGTTTTTCTACGGAAGGTGGTAAGTAGCTAGAATGCACTGCCAGAGGAAGTGGTAGCTGCAGATACATTAATAATTTTTAAGAGGCGCCTTGACAGATACATGAACAGGCAGGGAATAGAAGGTTACAGATCGTGTAGAAGCAAAAGGTTTTTAGTTTAGAAATGCGTCATATATCGGCACAGTTTTGGTGTGATGAAAGGTCTGTTCCTGTGCTGCACTGTTCTTTGTTCTTCGGCATTATTGATAATGAGCTGGCTCAGGAATGATGGACTCTCTTTCAGCTGTATTTTTCTATTTTTTTTCTTATTCTTAAAACTATTCAAAATGGCACCAGATCGTGGTGATAGTGGAAAAGCTTTCCGCTGTGTTTTACTGTTTTTCTCACTGTAAAATACACGAGACAATAAAATCATTCATTCATTCATTCTTTCATTCTCTTGTAGCTTCATCAGGACTGTTTAGGAAGCTGAGGACAGAAAGCACGTACGAATCATTGCTTCAGTTAGAATGTTAGACTCCCAAAGCAGAAGCTTACTCTGGGAAAGATGTCAGGGATGTGGAAAAAAAACTAAAGAGATTAATTACAGTTCAGCAATAGGTAGGAATATTTTGTTAGGAGAGGCTAGACAAAGTTGACTGTTCAGTAACGCAAAATTTTCAAAACGGATGTGTTTTGATAAGGTGAATGGTTTCCTATTAATCTGATCAAAATGCACCACCATTGTGCGAGTCAGACACTAAAGGGCTATATTACATTTAACTCAGCCCTGTAACCTTTGGATTATATGGGCCCTTGTCGACTAATATTTGTTGCTTTTGTTGATCTGTCTGATTAGAGGGGGATTCTGTAAGCATTGATTGTCAAAATGTCAAGAAAAGTACAACTCACCAACCGGAGGTGGATTATTTACTGTCCTGGCTTTTGGTAGTGTTTCTGGATTAGGTTGTAGGCTGCTCTTTACAAACAAGCAATCTCCTGATACTGGTGTTGAACAAAACTCGGGATATGTTTTAACCGAATTGAGGCTTATTGTCATTCTTCCCTCTAACGCTGTGACTGGGAGCAGTGTCCAGACAGTCCTGACACTGACCCAATACAATCTGACCACTTCAATTGACCACACATGTGGCCATGTGGAAAAATCTTAAAGGGGCCGTGTACATTTTTAAACAATCACCCGAACTATTGACAGTAAAATGACAGCAAATCAAAAACAGAAAGTGCTGGAGGAACTCGGGCGGCCTGACAGCATTTATATAGAGAGAGAGGTAATATTTTGAGTCCAGTGATACTTTGTCAGACCTGCTCTGATGAAGGGTCACTGGACTTGAAACATTTTTCTCACTCCAGGTGCTGCCAGATCTGCTAAGCTTCTCTAACACTTTCTGTTTTTGTTTCAGATCTCCAGCACCTACAGTTCTTTATGTTTATGTAAAATGAGGGAAAATGTTGATTACAGTTTGGCAAACGCTTGGTCCAGTGCAGCTATCATGTTGGCAATTGAACAACTGGGTGGGTATATACTATGGACAAAATGCAGAAAAACTCCAACTGGGCAAATCACTGTTTCAGTGCTCAGTGAAGTGACGTAAGGAGCTAACAAATCAATACTGCTTTCAAGTGTTGTCTCACAAGTTACCTACTCACACCAACTCAGCTACAGTTAGGTCAGAACCACTTTTCCCAAACCTTGTCAGGACCTCAAGCCAAACGTAGACTTCAGCTGACTGCCAGGGTGAGGTGGAAGGAGCCCTATCAAAATGGAGATCAGTGGGGTTTCAGTGGAAAACTGTCAAATGACTGGAACTATATCTGCCTTGAAGGAAAATGTATGTCAGCGGCCAATCAGCTTCGAGCCAGGACTTCATCAGGGCAGGGTTTGTGACCCAACCATCTTCAGCTACATCCTTACTGAACTATCCTCTGTCATAGGTCACAAGTGACACTTATTTGCTGACAATCCCGCAACATTCAGCTGCATTTATTATTATTTCCCCTGTCCGTGTCTACAACTTGTGCCAAAGGGCTCTTGTAGTGCAGTGATAGTGACCCTGCCTCTGGGCCAGGAGGTCTGGGTTCAAGTTCCACCTACTTCAGGGGTATGTAATAACATCTATGAACTAGTTCATTAAAAATATCTACAATTGGTGGCAATAATGAAAATGATTCCCAGGGTATCTCTCATTCTCTTCTATAAATTTGTTTCCAGACAGCCAAATAAGGCAACAAAATGAGTTAGAACTTTTCTGCATGAGTGAATATGCTAGTTAACTGCTTGTGACCATGATGAAATTAAAATGGCCAATACCATATTAAATCTTGGAAAAATATACTTCATCTTCCTTATGAAATATATTGTTTAGCCCAGGAGTGTTCTGCTTTCTACCTGATCTAAGTTTGGTACAGTCACATTTGCTCAGAAACTTCTTTCGGAGTTTTTTATGATTAATAGATATGGCAGGGCACAGTTCACAAGCAGTTCCCCCAATGTCTTGCTGCCATGTAATTGAAATCTCCCCCTATAAGTCCTTGTCTAAGTGTGTTATTTTGACTGTTTCAGTGAACCCATGTGGCCTATTGAAGCTAGGAATGCAGCCATTGCCAACCACTGTTTCACCTGTGCCATCAACCGAGTTGGGATGGTGAGTAGCCGCTTTGAACTTAACTTGCGACTGCTGAATGGACCTTGGGACAGGGCCTCAACACACATTGACACTCTCACTTTGCTAGAATCTTACTTATTCCGCATCACAAACAATAGAAAATTTTCTGATCAAGGGTCACTGGACGCGAAACGTTAACTCTGATTTCTCTTCACAGATGCTGCTGGACCTGCTGAGCTTTACCAGCAATTTCTGTTCTTGTTTCTGATTTACAGCATCTTCAGTTCTTTCTGTTTTTATCTAACAAAACATTTTTGTTAGTAATTCAAAGGATGTGACCATTGCTGTCTGGGCTAGTATTTATTGCCTGTCCCTAATTGCCCTTGAGAAGTTGGTGGAAGCTGCCAGTACATACAATGCCATTAGGGATTTTCAGGAATAAAATTCTTCATAATTTCCCCAATCACTTATTGGGCTTCTTAAATTGAACAGTCAGTGGATAAAGAATGCTGGGTTGAACTATAAACCTTCAAGGATCTTCATCAAAATATGATAAAGTTTTTTTTCTTTTACTCATGTTCATTCTGCCCTTGGTTGCTTATCTCTGAACAAAATGGCAGTGGTTGACCAATTATTATCTTTAGAATCCCTACAGTGCAGAGAGGTCATTTGACCCATCGAATCTGCGCGCATTCTCTGAAGAGCATCCCACCCAGACCTGCATCCTCACCCTATCCCTGTAACCCCACATTTACCATAGCTAATCCTGCAAATCCCAGCACACTACAAGGCAATTTAGAATGGCCAGTCCATCTAACCTGCACATCTTTGTCCTTCCTGTATCACCATTTAAATGTGATGCTTTAAGGAAAGGATGACTGAAGATTCCTAAAGAAAACTCGTGTCTGAGCCTGATCAGAAACAGCAACTTCAATATTGCCTTAAATATATATATATATATATTTTTAAAAGGAACTGTTAAAACAAAACTCAAAGCAAAACCTGAGGAGAAGCCTTGAGAGATGACCTAAAAAGCTTGGTCAAAGTTGGAGTTTTTAAGGAAAGTTTCAGAGGAGGGGAGAAACGTGAAGAGGCAGAGGGCTTTGATGAGGGAATTCCAGAGGTTATTGAGGCTTAGACTGGGCTAACGGCACAGCCGCCTGTGGTGCGGCAAAGAGAGGTGCACAAAAGGCCAGATGTTAGGGCTAAGTCTGGAGGTCTATGAGACAGGATCTAATGCTGGAAGAGCAGCGGCAGGTGCAGTAAACAGGTAGAAAAGCAAATGGAGGCCTTCATCGCATGGGAATATTGAGGGAGTGCATCAGAGGTTTGCCAGACTGATTCCAGACTGGCACTATCCTATGAGCACAGATTGAGGAGACAAGGCCTACATTCACTGGGGTTTAGAAGAATGAGAAACTATCTCACAGAAAGGTACATAATATTTACAGGGTTCCATAAGGTAGATGCAGAAAGATAGTTTCCTCTCACGGGAGAGTAGGGATCTTGAAACAGGGGATACAGAATAAAGGGAAAGCCATTTAAGTCTGAGATGAGGAAGAATTTATTCACTGGGAGAGTTTAGAATCTTTGAAATTCTTTGCACCCTAGAACTGTGGTGCCTCAGTTAAGGAATGCGTTCAAGACAGAGATTGATAGATTTCTAGGTACTGCCAATATCAGAGGATAGGGCCAGATCATGGTGCTAAGGTAGAGGATCATCCATGATCTAGTTGAATAACAGTGCAGTGTTGAAGGGCTGAGTGGCCTAGGTTTGCTCCTATTTTCAATGTGAGAGGCAACAACATCATCCTTTTATCACAGGAGCCCTGAAGATTAACCTTTTCATGTTTAACATGTTTAATGTGTTTAGTGTAGTTGGCACTGGGAAAGGCATTACCTGCAAACAGCCAGTTTGTACCTGAACAGGAAGCTCATTTCCCTGGGATTGATGAAACAAGGAGAAGTATTGAAACAAGTTTTGAGGAAAAGCTACAGTTGTGATTTATTCCAGACAAAATCTGAAAGCCTGTGCTTCAGTTATTAAGTACATGGATGGATTTAACTAAGTTATAGTGATGCAAATTCAACCAGCACGGACACAATGGGTGGAATTTTCTCAGTGTCTGAAAAAACATGGGCAATGGTGAGAAAGTGGAGAAATTATCAGGGAGGTGCTTGGCTGAGATATTATCACTAGACTATTTATCAGAGACACAGCTAATGTTCTGGCAAATGGCATCCGAAATAAAAATCTGGAAGTAAGAGTCCATGACCATGAAACCATTGTCGATTGTCAGGAGAAACCCACCTGGTTCACTAATGTCCTTTAGGGAAGGAAATCTGCTGCCCTTACTTTATCTGACCTACATGTAACTCCAGACTCTCAGCATTGTTGTTAACTCTTAACTGCCCTCTTGGGCAGTTAGGATTGAGTAACAAATGTTAGCCTAGCCAGTGACGCCCCCATATTGTGAATGAATGAATTAAAAAAAAATCGAGATTGGAGAACTTAGATTCTTGACATTGAGAAAAAGGTCCGATTTTCCTCTGAAGGTTTCAGCGACTGGATGAGAATCTTGCTGATGAGCAGCGAGGGGCCAGTTTGCATGTCTTGCCAAGTCTCGCCGCAGTGGTCAGCAGGTTGTGCATCTCCCAAAACCGGGTGAGAATCTGGGTGATGTCATTTCTCAATGGGAATATCAGCGCGGGTATCTGGTGGGTGTCTCTAGCATCTTCTCCTGGTATCCATCCCAGCCACAATTCCCTAACACTCCTGGTCACCTCCACGCAGACCTACAAGAGGCTGGCACTAGCAAAGCACCAGCTTTGCCACATCATCACGGCATATCCTGACTCACCTTTATATGGTTCACCTCTTAACTACTGCACTTAGGAGCTCTCACTGCCTTCTGGCTCCTATCAGCTTGCTCTGTGTCAGAACAGGATGCATCTCTGGGTTCTTAGCACTCATTAACTTAGTGCTTATTTGGACACTCACAGCACCTCTACCTTGCCTTCGCTTTTAGCACGTTGCTGCTACATTTAGAACAGTAGTTCTGTTTTGTTTTACCCTTTAGCACAGTCAGAGAGCCAGGCAGCTTGTTATGTTTACTGTCAAAGGGGATGTGTTGCTGTACCTCAGTATGCTACATCAATTTCATGCTTACGACTTGAGCCATCTGCTTATGCAGCAAACACTCTGCACATGCTTCAAACAAACCGCCATATCTGAAAGTCTTAAGGGGAGTAGTCCTTACTCTAGTCAAGGAGGACTGTAATCAGATGGGGGTACTGGCACACTCAGAGGCTTTGTCTGATCTTTGTCCAGGGGTTGACCATGTTCAATTAGATGTTTGGTGTAGTCAGGGTCGGGGGAATCTAATTCCTCCAGCCCACGGATTGGGCCAAAGTCAGTCAAGCAGATCAGCTCCAACCAGACCAGGGATAAGTGCTCAGTTAGCTGGGGAGCTGTTGAGGATTCATTCGAGGGCTGGGCAGTCCTTAGTCAGGGCTCTCCTCCTAAATCTCCTCCTGACCATGGTCAGTCCTTTTGGGGGCGGGGTTGCGGAATTGGGGTGGTTCGTCACCAGCCATCAAGGGATGTTATAATGGGGCAGTGCTATGTGGGGGAAAATAAAGAACTTGAGTGTGAGGGCTGGAGGCAGCATGCTGGGATGGAAAACAGACGGTGACTGTGAAGAGGGCCACTCTACATACAAGTTTGGAGCAATTGTAGAATGGGAGGCCACAGGATTGTGAGGGGGAGGTAGGGGTCATCAATGGTCACCACCACCCTGACTTCAAAGGAGAGCAGTGGATTTCTACATTGGGCATGACTAGGCAGTAGTCCTGGGGCTCGGATAAACTGAGGAAATAAATAGTTAATTAAAACAGTTGGGTGGACACATGGGAAGGCTCAATGCTGAAGGGTTACCAAAGTCTGCAATGCAGAAAGAAAGATAAAGTTTGGTTGGTGGTTGGAGGAGTGGTGGGACCTAGAACAAGAAGCGGAGCCTGCAGTTCACTGTCTCAAGCATGATCTGGAAAACCTTCAACTTAAACTAAATGTCAACTTTACCACAAATGTAGAAAATGGCTACCAGCAAACCCAAGTGATTGGAGTAAGTCTATTTTGTTTAGTTAGCAAGAGTGGGCTCCACCTGTGGATACTGAGGCCCCTCGAAGGGAAATTGCATTAATCAGGGACTTACAAATTGGAGACTAGAGATAAAATTCTGTGTCTGCTGGTCATGCATTATCAACTACATAGCTTACAAATCCTGAGCTCCTAGGGAAGGTGTAGCAAGACTGTGTTCTTATGTTGTATGGTGCTAAGATGGGTTATCTTCATTCTTAAGGCTGCAATTAAAATGAGAGTCGATGAGTGAGGTGATGAATTCAAGTGCCAAATGTCACATTCTGTGTACAATGAAGTGTCACCCATGCCATCTAAGTGCCTAATAGGTGCAGTACCAACGTCCTTGGTTGAGGGCAGAGGGAGCTTTCCCTATAATGTAGCCTGAGAGCCTTGATGGTTTGGACAAATGACCCTGGGTTTTTGTGGCTGGAGAACCCAGACATGTTGCAAGTGACCTGCCCAGATGCGGACTCACCCTCCTTGGCTGCCACTTTCACAGAGTTGGGGGTTGGAGCCAGGGTGGAGGTGGAGGTGGAGGTGGAATGGCTGGACACCTCTGGAGTGTCTTGAGAGCAGACTTACTAGAGGCATGAGTGTAGTTTCTCCTCGGCCTGATTGCATCACCCTATCTACTTGAAAGGAAGGTACAGCTGCAGTGAGGTCAAAGTCCCTCATCCCCCTCTTGCCTGAGCAGCAATGACTACAGCGATGAGAGTACAGATTTGTGGGCATCTCTGGCAGCTGCTGAGTGTTATGTGTGGATACTTTTGGTGCATGCATACAGCAAGATGGAGAATAAGTTGGGCAATAGGGCTAGAAGCTTGAGCATGCTAAGAACACATTCACAGTGGCGGTAATGATAGAGCAGTGCTGCTCTTGCCAATGAAGCTTATTTCGC